ATATTTATTTATTTTTATTTATTTATTTATTTATTTATTTATTTATTGGAACCCTGGTACACAGGATGATTCGTTTCGAAACTTACTTCATTCCGAAGACAGGCCCATGAGACACCATCAGATCCTTCTCGTCCATGAGCTTCCTAATGGTAGGGAGGGTATTATACTCAATCGTCTGATTCCCGAAGTCAAGATCTTTCAGAAACAGTTGCCCCTTCGACGAAAGTAAATCTTTCAAGATCTGGTATATTTCAATGGATGACAGAATGTTGCCTGCTACAACGAGAGTTCGTAATGTCCGGCTTTTCTTAACAACGCCTAGAAAGAAAAGAAAAAAACCCAGATTAAAATCTTTCATTTATTTATCTATTTATTTATTTGTTTATTAATTTAAAAGTTCGAACGTTTTTAAGTTGGTAAACGTGATATGTTAGGTTCACTATTCAAAAATTGTGTTTCAGGTATTGTAAAGCGCCGGTTAATTGTTCAGTGAAAAAGCTCTTAGACTCTCAACAGTAGGGTCGTAGATTCGAATACCGTCAGGAAACGGACTTTGCATGAACTTTCCTCATTTCGCTGTAGACAGCGAAAAACTAAGTTTGTAAGTGCTATAACGCGAGAAATCCGCAGCTTGCACTGTATGCTTTCCGGGAAGCCGACAATGTTTTTAAGTCGTAATTGCAGAATGCAAAGGGCATGCTGTAGACGTGGGTACGCGCTATTATTATTATTATTACTACTATTATTACAACAATAGCAACCGCAACACTTAAAAAAGGCCACTTAATTTTTTATGTGATGAGATTTGTCCTGTTGTGTCTACAATTTCCTTTAACGTTAGTGCTTCCACAATTATTACTAATTTTACTGCTTTTGCTTCTAAGGGCTGCCACACTACTGCCTGTACTGTAACCACTAGTGCTTCTAGCCTTCGAAATGATCAACTTGCGTCAAGAAGAGGGACAGACTTGTTTGTTTTGTAAGTCAGTGTCACAGCATTAGCGACTTATTTCACAAGGCCGTTTGAGCATGCGGTAATCGAGTTGGATGTTTCCAAGTTAGTTCACAGCACAGCCTGGTTGTACTTCGTAAAGACGTAAAGGTTGAAGCTGTTGAAAATTCACGCTGACAATTCAGTTATAAAAAAGCAGTAATTTGCACTTTTGAAACAGCACTAGATATCTATTTAATATTAGTAAAGACTAATACAATCGAGAATTCTGTTGGTATCAACGGTGGAGAAAATTTTTTCCCATTAGTGCGTTTGAAATATGCTTTTGGGTTTCTCCAAAGTCTGGACACTATTAAGGAACGACATCACATCAGACACAAAAGGGTTTTTCCTCTCCCTACAGGAGGTATCGGTGTGCCAAGGAGGTATGTCCAATACGCAGTTTAGTTAAAATAACTTTATCTCTTCTGGACAGACTCGAAGGTTTTCGTTGGCCCAATTTGGGCTTGGCGTTGTGAAGTTTGTTGTTTGTTGGCGTCAGTGTTTCTCCCACAGACTGGAGGTGTAGCAGTTGACTTGTTTGTGTAGTCTATCTGTGGGAGGGTGCTCTTCGTTGATCCCAACAGGAAGGAGCCTCGTTAAAAAAAAGAAGATCTCTTCGACTCAAGACAACCCACAGAACAAAGATGACATGCACATATTACGAATTGTTTCTCCTGAAGTCTACAGCCCTATTATTGGACAAAGTGTATATCTCTTCTAATTCGACGACAAGGCTGTCAACCAGAACACCAGGCTCAGAGGAAATCATTTTAAGAAGGAAAAGAAAATCTTCTCAATTACTATTTCTGTAGCTTAATCTAAAGCAATTTCAAAACAAAAACTCCGTTTAGCTGCAGCTCTGAGAGTCTAACTGTCCTCAACTTACCCATTAACCCTACGAAACTCTTCATGTTGATTCTATTGGAAGAGATATCCAGCTCTTGTATGACTTTATTTTTCCGTATCACCTTGCACAAACACTTCACCCCGTCTTCCCCGAGCCCGTTCCAAGCTAGATCAAGAGTCTGAAGAAAGAAAAGGGATGGGATTATACACAATACCCTCATAATGTGGACAGATCATGATTTGGCACTGATGGTGTCTAGGCTGACACATGGAAGGTTTATGCTGTTGTTTCATGCGGCATATCGTCGGCCATATGTTCAGATGTACTAAGGCCAAAAGTTAGAATGTATTTTTTTAAACAGCTCCTTAATCTGTATTACCTGTTGCATGTGCTCAAGAAGTAATAATTTAGAGAAAAAAAGGTGCATAATCTAAGTGGATTAGTTAAAACAACGAAACCGGTTTTTTTCTCTCTTGGACAGTTTCGCTTTCTGGGCTCAGTACATATGAATAGCTTGCCAGCGATAAGACTGAGAGTTCTTAATACATGGACAAGTACATGTACTTTATAGCTACATGCTGTGACAGTGGTAGATAAAAAAAAAGAGGATGGAGTGACAGATGGAAGTTTGGTCGGAACTTCGAGGAGGGTTCGGGGGGAGGGATTGAATACACACACACACACACACACACACACACACACACACACACACACACACACAAATGCACACACACAGAGACACACACACACACAAACTAACTTTCTTTCTCTCTCTTTCTATCTCAAACACACATACGCACACACACATACACACCCACAACACACACACATACACACACACAAACACACTCATATACACACACACCACTCACAAACATGTGTGCGCGCGTAAAAGAGTCAAAGCATCTGTCATCTCTTATATTATATTTGTGAAAGTCACTTTGGCCGAACCACTTAATTTTCGAATTTGACAAAATTAATGATGGTTCAGAATCATTCGAAGGGTGCACAGTTTTATTGAGGAGCCTGCAGTCATAGTTTAATTTTCAGTTTTTCATTAGTTTCGTTTAGAACTAATCTTGGGAAAATCCCTCTTCTAAGACGCCATTGTAAACAAGTGATGTTTCCATTCACTAACCGTGCGTACTGATTCCACACCTTTGAAATTCAGGAGTGTACAACCACGAAAGCGAAATAGAGAGTCAATCTATACATCTCTGTATCTAGACCTTCTAATTTTTTGCATCTCTTTAGATTTATTGCTCCATTCCAGTGAAGTGTAAATATAGTATAGGTCAATGACTTTCAGTTGGTGTTAATGCACCGATTATTCCTTTCATCGAAAGGGAGCCCAGCTAGTATAACAATGTTTATGAGCATATCATTCATTAAACCATACGTACTTACAGTGATGTATTTATTTTTCTCCATGCCCTGAAGGAATGCCATTGCCCCTTTCAGGCGTAAATGATTCCACCTCAAGGACAGGCTCTCAATAGAAGTGTTCACTGCCAAGCCTTTTCCTAAGATGGCAGCAGCCTCATCCCTGAAGCAGTTATAACTGAAAACACAAAAATCTTAAAAGTGAATGCATTTGCACTTTGAAGAGAGAGAGAGAGAGAGAGAGAGAGAGAGAGAGAGAGAGAGAGAGAGAGAGAGAGAGAGAGAACGCTGAGAAGAATGCTATATAAGCGGCTGGGTGACTCATTATACCCTCTCTCTGTAAAACGACATGTAGAAGCTTATGCTCAGGCTTTCCTGTTCTCTTTTAACATCAAGAGAGAATAGAGCCTAATTCTATTATCCATTTCGATTAGAAAAAAGCAAAAAAAGGTCAGTGATTGTGACTTACCAACTAGTTGGGGATTATAGTTGAATAATTGCAAATGGCAAATGGTCGAGTCAACAAGAGATGCTTCTTCATGTAAGAATGGTTGAGGCGGAAAAATATTAGATCATGTAAAATTATGAAGAGAAGTGTCTCGATTTGAAAAGTCAAAAAGCTCAAAGTACATAATATACTGTACATGTACCTATTTTATATTTTAAAATGAGATTGAATTTCTTAAACAGCTTCTTACCTGAGATCCAACTCCAGGAGATATGTGGTATCTCTGAGATATGTGGCAAATATGTCCCCGTCGTTGTCCTCCAAAGCGTTCCCGGAGAGATTCAATGATACAACACGGTCTGCCTCCTGGTGTTGATGGATTGTTGTGTTTGTTTGTTTGTTTATTTTTTTTTCGGGGGGG